AATGCCCAGGAGAGGCTTGTTAGGCTGACAAGTAGGCCCCATGTCCAGCAAACGTTTTCATGTAACGGTGTGAGAAATTGGTGCCACGTCAGCCTGACTGGCGGGCTCCATTTGTCACAAACTCACTTAACTAAGTAAGATCCGTCGATCAGTGTTTTTTGCAAAACCATGGACATGATGTTTTTAAAAAAAATGTATTCTAGTGTTTTTCACAAACCTAGTTTTTAAAGTAGTGGTTTTGTGCAATTTATTCCGACCAAATGCCCAGGAGAAGCGGGTTGCGGCGAAGGACCTCCCCCCCCCCAGGTACCTCCCCATCCTCATTTGCCGCTGTTTCTCCGGTTCGGGTGGTTTTATCTTTGATGTCTGATGATCATCTTTTAAACATTATGTCGGATGTGGGTGTGGTGGTCGATTCTTCTGTTGGTTCTCCTAGTTCGCTTCTTGCCATTATTCGGGCTAATGAACTGGCTCAGGCAGCCATTGCGAAAGCCAAAGAGGCTGTTGCCTCACGGGTCGCGGATGCTGGCTGTGCTGCGGGGGAGGCTTCGGGTGCTGGTAGTGGCCAGCCCCCTTCCTGCCCTGCCAAGAGGGGCGCTAATAAACGTACTAAATCCTGCATGGCCCCCTGCAGGTCGAGTCTCCGTATCAAGAACCTGTCGTATAAATGAGGGCTTTATTCTGGAATATAAGGGGGTTCGGTGCTAGGGGGCGCCATGACCAACTTAAAGATTTGGTTCGTTCTAACTCTATTGATTTTGTGGGGCTGGTTGAAACTTTTAAGGATTCCTTCTCCCCTAGTGAGCTCTCTGCTATCGTGGGTATGGATAGATTTCATTGGCAATTCTTACCTGCTTCGGGACACTCTGGCGGGATTTTGATTGGCTCTAATAAGGATATTTTTGATTTCGTTGCTTTTGATCATGGGTTTTTTTGGGCTAGTGTTGTTCTGTCTCACAAATCTATGAATACCCTCTGTGAGTACATCATTGTTTATGGGCCTGCGGACCACTCTCTGTCGAACCTTTTCCTTAATGAACTCTCGACCAAGATTGAGTCTTGTACTTTACCGATGGTTATTGGGGGAGACTTTAACTTGTTGCGTTGCCCTCTTGACAAGAATAATAATAATTTCTCTTGGTCTTTAGCCAATGCTTTTAATGACTTCATTAGTGCTAACG